AAAATTAGATTAAGTTTAATTGATAAAAGCATAGTAACTCAATGTTGAGTAACATGAGACTGTCTAAAAAATTATCACAGATCCCCTATGTGGGATAATGTATTTTATTATGTTGTAACTTAAATATGTACCCATGTACATATTTCTCATGCAATTGTACAACCAAAACAAATTTACAAATAGAAAGATACAAAACCAGTAATGTTTACATTGCCTGTGACAGATGATTTTTTTTGCTAAAATTGAGTCTGATTAAAACTTTAAGTTTTTTCCAGCTTTATTATATAACTGACAATTAAAACTGTACATATTTAAGGTGCACAACTTGATAATTTGATATACATGTACAATATAACTCAATATAAAAAAGTCAATTGATAAATAATCCAATTTTAAAAGGCCAGGAGACCTGAATAAATTTCTCAAAGAAGACACACAAATGGCCAACAACTATGAATATATGCTTAACTTCAACAATCGTTAGGCAAATAAAATCATTATTAAATGAAATCATTAGGCAAATAAGTATGAAGAGTATGACTATATGCTTAACTTAACCAATCATTAGGCAAATAAAATAAAAAACAAAATGAGATATTACATAACACCTGTTGAATGAAAGATAGCAAGTGGTAGCAAGCATGTAGAGAAAAAGGAACCCTTGTGCACTGGTGGTGGGAATGAAAATTGGTGTAGTCATGCTGGAAAACAGTATGGAGCTTCCTAACAGTTCGGATTAGAAATATTTAATGATCCAGCCATCCCACTTCTGGGAAAAGAAATTAGGTGAGTGTGGGTAGGGTGGAGGAGAGTGGTGGTAGGAAAATGGAGAAAACTGTATTTGAACATCAACAAGAAATAAAATAAATAAAAACATGTAATCTCACATCAAACGTACTCTTTCATCTGTGTTAACATGCATGTCAACAGAAGCATGTGTTACAAAAATGATATCAATAAAATTATGACTTTATTTAGAAGATCACAATGGTGAAAATTCAGTGAAATGATACATTTCGAGTTGGCTCAGGACCTTATATTTAAGCACATTTGACCTAAATCTCAGCTAGCATTTAAACATTGAATACCAGTTTTAATGAAATATGAAGGTGTGCTGATTACTTCAAGACAAAATTAACAATGCCATTAAAATCTGCTTTACGTTTGTATTTAATCCAATAATACCTGAATAAACAACAGAACAATCTTACCTAATGTTAATTTTCAATGGTTGCAGATTGAAAGTTTTAAAAAATTGGTTTTACTAATTCATCCAAATATTGGTGAAAATTGGAAAATACATAAAATGGCTCATTTACATCATTTTGAAAACAACTTGGTCATAAATCAAGTATTTTCTTTTAAAAAATTGCTTTCACTTCTCATATTTAAACTATTAAGACCTCTGTTCATTCACTGTTCTGCCCACTTGGAATGAATATATAATTTATGTATCAAGTCTGTCTCTGCTCTTTTTATCATTGAGTATGACAATTAAAGCAACACCTACTGTCATTTTCATGGTGTGAAATCCAAGTATCAATTTATTAAAGAGCTTAAGAAACAAATTTTTATTCTAAGAAAATGTCATGTCTTTTTCATTCAAGTTAGAATCTCATAAAAGTCAACTCATGGTATTTCAAACCCACAGTGCTCCACCCAGAATATTCAGAAATTGCCAATGTCTGAATGACCAATATACACACAAGCCAGGGTTATCCAGGGTTCTCTGGGAATCAAAAAATTCAAAATATGATTAGGGTGTGCTGGAAGTTAAACTTAACAGTTACCTAAAAGATATTTCTAACACTCTCACAGGACAAACTTTCCCCCAAGGTGACCTGGTTTAGACACAAATTTTTGAAACCCAGATATATCTAAAACTAATGCTTGGAATAACCAGTCTACCACTTGTGGAAAAACAGACAATTTTGGAATCACACTGAAATCCATTGGTTGAGGCATGGTGGGTGCTCGCTACTTCCATGTATCAACACTTTTTGCAGTGGATTATCTATTACATAGCCACACTGCATTTCCTGGGGCCCACACTTACTGCACTCATGACTGCCTTTTGGGGGAGTCTCTGAGTTTATTGTTTTCTTAGTAAGTGCATCAGGATGATTGGGACTTTGATGATTCCTTTCAGGTTAAATCATTATACTGAACTGAACTTCTTTTGTATATTACCCATCCCAATATTCTAGAGTCACCCCAAAAGCTTGGAAAACCTTTTTCAAAGCTACTTACAATTGCAAGCAGCCAGCTGTACAAGTGCCTAGTTGGAATCAATTGTGTAGTGGGGTTAATAGTATCTTCCCAAACTCAATGTCCATTCAGAAACTCAGTATGTAACCTTATTTGGAAACAAGGTCTTTCCAAGATGTAATTACTGATGTATTATGTTTATTGACTTGCAAATATTGTACCATCCTTGCATCCCTGGGATAAATCCCACTTGGTCATGGTGTCTGATCTTTTTAATGTATTGCTGGGTATGGTTTGCCAATATTTTGTGGAGGATTTTAGCATCTATGTTCATCAGTGATATTGGCTTATAGTTTTCTTTCTTTGTTGTGTCTTTATCTGGTTTTGAGATCAGGACCATGCTGGCTTCATAATAAGAGTTTTGGAGTCTTCCTTCTTCTTGGATATTTTGGAATAGTCTGTGAAGGATTAGGGTTAGGTCTTCTTTAAATATTTTGTAATTCTCCTGTGAAACCATCCAGTCTAGGGCTTTTGTGTGTTGGGAGTTTTTTGATTACTGCTTCAATTTTTCCAGCTGTTATTGATCTGTTCAGGCATTATTCTTCCAAAATATATAAAGAACTCACATGTCTCCACTCCAGGAAGACAAACAATCAAATTCTAAAATGGACAAAGGACTGGAACAGACACTTCTCCAAGGAGGACATGCAGAGGGCCCAAAGACATATAAAAGGATGCTCAGCATCACTAGCCAACAGAGAGGTACAAATTGAAACCACAATGAGATACTACTTCTCACCAGTGAGAATGTCTATCATAAACAAATTAACAAACAACAAGTACTCGTGAGGTTGTGGAGCAAAGGGGACCCTGGTGCACTCTTGGTGGGAATGAAGAGTGGTGTAGTCACTGTGGAAAACATTATGGAATTTCTTCAGAAAACTAAAAATGGAACTACCTTTCGACCCCAGCAATTCCACTGCTGGGATTATACATTAAGAACCCTGAAACACCAGTTCAAAAGAGCTTATGCACCCCAATGTTCATAGCAGCACAATTTACAATAGCCAACTTCTGGAAGCAACCTAAGTGCCCATCAGTAAATAAGTGGATAAAAAAACTGGTATATTTACACTATGCAGCAGAAAGGAAGAAGAAACTCCTATCCTTCACGACAGAATGGATGGAACTGGAGAGCATTATGTTAAGTGAAATAAGCTAGGCAGTGAAAGACAAATATCACCTATAAGTGGAACCTAATTAACAAAACAAACAAGCAAGCAAAATTTCACCAGATACATGGAAATAAAGAACAAACTGACAGTAACCAGAGGCGAGTGAGGAAGGGATAGTGGGGGGAAATGGGGAAGAGTTGTCAAGGAACATGTACAAAGAACACATAGACAAAGCCAATGGGGGTAGGATTGAGGGTGGGAGGTGGGGATGGGCAGAATCAGGGGGAGTGGTGGGGGGAAAGTGGAGACAACTGTACTTGAACAACAATAAAATAAAGATAAAGGAAAAGAAAAACTCATTAAAAATCTCAAAAAATTACACTGTGTGCCTAAGAAAACAAATATGTACTTAGTTAAATGGAGATTACACTAGATTGGGATGAACCCTTAATCTAAAGACTGGTGCCCTTTAAAGAAGAAAAAAAGACACAGATATACAAAGAGAAGAAGGTCACGTGAAGACAGAGCAGAGATCGGAGTGATGCACTGATAAACTAAGGAATTCCAAGGATTGCCAGGAGCCACCAATAGCTGGAAGGGACAAGGAAGGGCTTTTTCCTAGAACATTCAGAACAAACAAGGCCTAGTGACACCTCGTTCTGAATTTGTGGACTCCAGAACTGATACATTTCTACTGTTTTAAGCCACCAGGGTTATAGTTATTTGTTACTACAGAACCAGGAAACTGATACAAACTTCCAACCAAGGACTTTGGGCTTGTTTGCATTTATTTATTTAAAGCGCACTATGAGAATAAAATCAAAGAAGGAAAGTCAGGCTGTAACAAACCCTTTGAGAACAGCACTGGGGTGATTAATAAATGTATCTATAGATGAACTTCGAACCTCACTTTTCTTAACCTCCATCAGGGGCATCCAATTGCACAATGTGAAATACTTAGGAGACAGTGTCATCTAACCCTCTATGAAGGTTAATGTGATGGAAGAAAGAGATATCCCATGAAAGAAATTTCCTTCCTTTTCTTTTTAATTTACCTATTTTTTTTTTTTGTTTCCCATTGGTGGCAATTTCAAGCTGTATATTCTTTTCTTTATTGTCTTAGAATTTCTCTCCATCTCAAGTTCTTTCTTTTTACACTTTATACCTTCAAAACACTTCAGGTTAATGATATCATGGTGAATATTATCAGTCTATAATATTTATAACATAACATTATTCAACATTCTATAAATCAATAGGTGCCTCATCTTGGGCTAGGTCACCCTGTTGATGACCTAGCTTAAGGTCATATAATGCCATCTTATTACTATAGGTGACATTATAGATTCTACTCTATCCTTCACAAAGCTGGTGGTTGGACTACCTAGCTCCTTCCCAGATATTCCAAGGCTTTGTGCCCTACACAACTTATTTCACTTTTTAAATATTAAGCATCATGGGTTTTTTTTAAACAAATTTTTGGAGTAAAACCCTATTTTAAAATACTTTGATGTAGGTAAAATAAATAGATGTTTCACTTTACTGAAATTAATATTATACCAATTTAGATTTTCAATGCATTTTGGTTTTTAATTTCAATAACATGGAAAGCCTTACCTTGACAATACCCCGGATGTGCATTTTTGCTATCATCTCTGCTGTGTAGAGAAACATCAATAATGTATCCAGAGTAAAGGTCACATACTGAAGAGGAGGATAGTGTTCGAACGTCATGGGTGTGTTCATACAGACAGAAATGACACTGATGATGGCACAGATGCGCAGCAAAGAGTGAACCCACTGCAAACATGGTCCAAAGTTATTATTTAACATTGTCAAATGTAATCAATCACAATATTTAGAAAACATAATAGTGAGATTAAAATATTTCACCAGTATATCTGTTTCATGCATATAAAATAGCTCATATATTTTATACCATTAATTCTCAAATCAGTCTAATTTCCATGCAAACACACTAAGACTCAGAACATTAAGAATCATTTCTGTGGCCAGGCATTAATAAGAGCCAAAGCCAACAGGTGAACCTGCTCAGGCTACGCCAAGTCCTTAGGTACTGTCCAGGGCGTCAGGACTCCATACAGGGAGATTCTGACTCAATTAAATATATGCTAGTAACTTATTCATAGCCTATCCTTATAAATCACAAATGCTTTTTATTTATTTTTTTAAAGATTTTATTTATTTTATTTTTACACAGGGGGAAGGGAGAGAGAAAGAGAGGGAGAGAAACATAAATGCGTGGGTGCCTCTCATGCGCTCTCTACTGGGGACCTGGTCTGCAACCCAGGCATGTGTCCTGAGTGACAATAGAACCAGCAACTCTTTGGTTTGCAGGCCAGCACTCAGTCCATTGAGCCATACCAGCCAGGGCCTCAAATGCTTTTTAAAATGAATTGATACATATCACTTTACATATGTAGGGTTTTTCTTTCTATACGTCCTTAGATATAACCTTTGTATAAAAATATTTTTAAAACTCTGGTATTACCCTACATTTTCAAAAGATAATAAATTGACTTTCTTCTTTATTTTGGAAAATGTTTTATATAAATTTAGCCCAGATAACTTTTCCAAAATTCGAAAAAAATCAAGTTTCTGTATAATTCATTCTAGTGGTCCATGTGCTGTGTGATGATTTTCCTTAACCTCAACATAAAGAAATAGACAATAGAAAAAGATAAACGTGTATATGCATGTGTACACTACATATGTATATGTATAGTATGTACAATTAATCACATATACCATTTTATTATAAAAATTAGCTAGGATAAAAAATATTGACTGCATCTTTACATTAAACCCATACAATTGATCTTACTAGTTAATTTTAGTGCACATTCTTAAATATAATTTAAATATGTTACTTATTGACTATCTTGTACATATCTATATATACATATGTATATATATGTATATTCATACGAACCCTTTATATTATACTCCCCCTGGAAAAACCTGTTGTGGTTTCATAGTGGACAGTTTCTGCAGCCATACAAGCCTGCAGGCACCCAAAGTAAAAAAGAAAAAGACTGTCAGAACTTTGAGGAGACTCAGGAACTTGCAGGCTGCTGAGTGGGTTTTAATATTAATCTGACAGCTATAATATTTGAAATATTCTCCACTAATATCATACCATAAAATTACTGGCAGTTAAAGTTATGTTAAGGGTTGATGTACTTTTCATGCAATTTGGAAGTCTTTAGTAAACGTCAGTGTGTGCATTGAGCCCAATCTGGACCTCCAACACAAAGGATGCAATTACACAAAAGAGCTATAAAAAAAGGGTTCTTTCACAACCAACATGTTTCAAATTTAAAGTATAAATTCTAGTTAAATATTAATTATTTTAGTTAGTGCTTGCAAGGCTACATCTGTAATAACACCTTTGTTAGAAATCGTCAGAAATCTCTGTATGTAGTGGACACTAAGAAAAATGAGTGAGTGCTTTATTCTCTATTCTGTTCAATCATTTAAACATGAATAGAAGATCTACTGTGTGTCAGAAATTATGCAGAGGGCACAAAAATGGAAACAGGAGGTTTCTGACTCATCACTACTTTGAAGTATGATATAAATAACATATACATTTTATTTATATACAATATACTCATATATACATATAAAATAAGTAGAAAAGTAAGAGATTTATTTTCTCTGTGATGGAAAGGGGCAAGTGAGGAACTTTTCAGAGTGGATGGGGAAGGGATGGTATAGGAGATGACCTTCATGAATGAGGGGTCTTGATACATGAGAGTTGCAAGGAAAGGGCCTGTGGGTAAACAATGTGCAATTGCCAGATACACTGCAGGAGCAGGAAGTCACAGATATGGCTCAAGTGGACAGTATAAAGATCTAGGAAAGAGCAGTTGCTGGGCAAGTTAGAATCAGAAGGTAGCCCTAAATATAATACTAAGGCATTTTAATTTGCAATGTGGGTAATAGGAATGTTTCAATGATTATAAAGCTGAAGGGTAATGTGAACAGAAATGAAAACATGGAAAGAAATGTGAGTAGGCTGGAGAAGTAGTCTAGAGGGTCGACTAATGAAGAAAGATTGGAAAGGTCAGGGAGACCAAGGCAGATGATCTTTATCTTGGTCAAAGGAAAGACAAGCACTGTGAGAGTAACAGTCCATGTCCTCACTTCAGCTTCCACTTATACTATTTCATATTTGTAAGTATAAATGTGTATTGTATATAAATAAAATATACATATCAGACTGCAAAGTAGTGATGAGTCATAACCATGTTGTTCCCATTTTTTGTGTCCTCTGAGCCAGCATAATTTCTGACACATGGTGAAATTGATCCTATTCTGGCTCATAGAGTTGAGTTTTCAAGACCTATGAATATGCCATTCTGTCTTAGCTCTGGATGCTACCCTGCCTAATATACAATAGTACTTGATATATCAGCTCTTCCCCTCAAATGCCCATCAGCTTAGACAGAGAGGTGACAAAATTCTTCAAGAGACAGTACCCACTCTCTCATTAACCTTTCCTTTAATTAAAACTTGCAACACAGACGGAGAACTTTAACTCCAAACATTTGATTTCCTCTTTACAGATTCATTCATGTTGAGAACTACAAGTAAAGAAGGCTTGGTAAAAGAGGTTGCTCATGTAGGACTTTAGCCTTGGATCAGCCTGCGAAGTGCTATCATTTCTACATGGGGTGACTGTGAGGACAGCATGTACAGAAGAGGAGAGGAGAGGCTACCTACCATACCTTCCTATGTGAGTAACTCAGAACAAAACCTCATTATTTCATCTCAGTTGTTCTTAACTTTCAGACTCCTAGACTTATCCATATTCTACTGCACTCAAACACACATTTCAAAGCCAAAGGTACATGATATTTGAATATATGAATTAAATTTCCTTTACATCAGCATGTGCTTCACCATACTTAAAAAAGAAACTTACTGGCTTGTTAATCCAGAGTATGTCAGCATTGTCTGACAGAGATTCATCAGGACCAAAGTCAGTAACTGGCTGGGCCTCCACCCTGGAGCTCTGTTTCCTTTTGAGCATGCTGAAGTTAGCTCTGGTGAGTGAGTGCAAAGCAGTCTGGGAAAAGAAAGAGAGAGCTGTGTTAGTGACCTACCTCTTTTTACACCCTGATCACAAAACGCCCCCCCCAAAAACGATGAATATCCAATGTGTGTCCATTCACATGTTAATTATATATGTGTTCCATTATACTGTATTTAATAAACACATGCAAATAGAAGTTCTAAAAGAACGAGGCAAAAATCAATTTCAATAAAAGCCTGAATTTTTTTCTCTCAACTCAATAGATCATCTTGTGTTCCTCATAAACAGTTTGCATGCCACTTTAGACACTACCGGTCTAGACTAACTGGAGTAAAATAGCTTCACCTCTCAGGGTACCCATACGAGTAGGAAATTTTTGAGGTTTATGCTTATACATCTAGAGCTGCCTCCACCTATAGGTGGTCTCGCCGGAGCACAGCTGATCAATCCAGATGAAATACTTAGATGTTTCCCATGATTTTCCCTCAGGTTAATTTAATGTGACACTCAGAGACATCTGTTTCCAGTACAAGTCCCAAGTTAATCCCCCAATTTTGTTCTTGCCATAAATGATGTGGGCCAGAGAGCATGGGGCAGAACCTACTGTAAATGGAGTTTTTTCTTCTTTTATGAATTATGTGATTACATCAATTCTTCTAGCTACTCTGAACTATAAACCCAAATTACATTGACAAGGGAGATGAGAGGCCTGCTTGCTTGCACTTAAATTTCCACAATTCTGACCATCTACATCTTTCTATATATGTTGCCTCCTTTTGTCACTGCTAATGCCCTCCATGATCCAGCAGCCATTGAAGAAAGGAGACGTATTATATATATGTCTGACATTCAGGACACAAACAGCAGACAAGTGCAAGAGATGTAAAGGCAGGTGGTGCCTGATAACACTGTGTACCAACAGACACATTCCTCATTTGATTAACCTTGGATTGAGTCTTAAAGAAAGATGAGTAGTGAATGGTTTTTGGATGCATACTATGTTTGGGCACTCTGCAGTGATATTTTATTTATCCTTTACAACTGGTAGAAGAAAGGAGACATCTTGTCTTTTCAGGAAAGCACTAGAAACTCCAGCCTTGAGGCAGCTAATAACTTGACCATGGCCACACAAGTAAACTTGAAATTTAAAAGAAACTCTATTTGACTACAAAATCTAAGGTGTTTGTCATTGATCATGCTGATGTTGAGGACTGATTAGGAGGACTTCTAAAAGCAAGTAATGGAGGGATTATGTCCTAGAGGAAGTGCATAACCGTGAAGATGCCAAGTCAAGAAAATGCCAATAGTTTTAACACCAGGAATGTGCACTGATACTCTTATCTTCTGCTCCTTGGAACTAGAGAAGAACCCTAACCAAGAAACAGAAGATAGATACAATGTGTTGTATCTATGTGCAGTTGGATGTATGTCTAATTGCACATACTATAATGTGCAATTTCAATTTACACTGGGAAAGAGAACACAGAAGCTCAGGAAAAATGGGCTTTGAATCTGATTCACTATGTTTGAGTACCTGCCTCTACATCTATGTTGTCATTGATGCACTTAGGTAGATACATCTGTGTACCCAGAAGAAATCAAACTGATTTGCTTTAAGATGGGCTAGGTATTTCCAGGCTGTCTTGTCCCAAATGTTAGATTTAAACATGGGATTGCAGTAGGCTGAACTAATTAATTTTATTTTACATAATTGGAGTTAGGGACCCCTGGCATTGATATGTAAATGTATGCAAAATATTCAAATTAAGCTTGTTCTCTGATTTAGTGTGGGGGAGAAACATCTGGTGGTCTCAACTTTGGATGCTTCTTGAACCACAGTCTCTCTTGTACTCAAAACTGAATACAGACTCTTTCAGAAATTCTTTAAGATCACACACAAAAGGGAGGAAATAAAGACTGGCTTCAGCCCTGGCTGGTGTGGCTCACTTTGTTGAGCATCATCCTGTAGACTGAAAAGTCACACGTTCAATTCTGAGTCAAGGCACAGGCCTGGGTTGCAGGTTCAGTCCCCAGCTGGGGCACAAACAAAAGGCAACCAAACAATGTTTCCCCCTCACATTGAGTTTCTCTACCTCTCTTTCTTCCCCCTCTCTATTACCGATAAGCATGTCCTTGGGTGAGGAGAAACAAAGAAAAACAGTGACATCACAATGTTGTTCAAAATAGATACAAGAAAATTTATTAAGCCACTAGTCTTAATGCCTTTTTCACTGAGTCAGTGGAGACTTATGAATGGCCATTTATGGTTCTTATGACTTGGCCCTAACTTATGATCTGAAAAATATTTGATGCATAAATGTGACACCTTCACATATGAATGTTATGCAGCTTTTATTATAAATATACCACCTGAAGCAAAACCAATGATTACGGACATGTTTTTCTAGAAGTAGACATCCAGAATTTATTTTTTAAAAATCTCCATGTTGTTAATTATTTGGCCCACCAAAATAATGCAACTTAATAAGTGACATTAGTTGTCATCCACTTTCACCCTGATTTTATCCACTGCAAAAGTGCCATGAAATCAAAGTGCCCAAGAAAATTCTCTCCAAACTCTCCAAATTGAACATATTATATATGTTTAACTCCACACAAACACAGAAACTCAAAAACCATCACCTGAATCACTAAAATTTTGACTAATTTAATAATATTAAATATTATGTAAAGCATGCAAGTAACAAAATAAGTTCAAATTACAAACATATAATGCACAAGAGGCAAACACAAGGCCTGTGAGCCATATCCAGCCCTCCACCTTGTTTTATCTGCTCAGCACCTTGTTTCTACCCTGCAGCAGCACCGAGCTCCTTGCCCCTAGTTAAGGAGTAGTTACCTTTATACAGTCCTAAAATTACATTCGGCCCTTTGAAGGCAACTGCAAGGCTGATGTGACGCCCCAGTGAAAATGAGTTTGACATCCCTGATAAAGAGTACAAAATTAATTTGAGGCAATCGATTGTAATAATTTTCCTTTACATAAGGAAGTATTGTTTTACACATTCATTTATGTTGAATCAATATAACTAAGTGCAGCAAACCTTTTATTCCCCTGATAAAGAGCAGCAGGGATATTTAAGTATCCTAGGTAAGCTTATTATTTGATAGGAAATTGCTTCTGTGTATCTTAGCCTTATCACCATTATGTACTTATAACACAATATGTTTTCTACTTACAGAAGTGTGCTTTATGAAGCACTGTATTAAATTCAAAAATCATGGCTTCCAGCAGCTTTTTCATACTCATTAGAAGTAGTTGGTATTTAAATAGTTCAATAGTATGAGGAGAATGCACAGTTACAATATGTCCACTGATAAATCTTGAGTTACTCAGAAACAGCTAATGGCAACTCTGGCAGAGGAAGTACTTTGGTTCATTTGCTCTCTTTTAAGTGGTTAATATCCAGTGTTATATTCTTTGATAGCTATATTTCACTTCTGTTGGTATATACTTTCCTTAGGTCATTCCCACTGTCTTGGCCAAATTAAAGCTAATAAACTCAGTTTTCTTTAATAGTAAAGTGTTGAAACACTATAGGTCATTTCTTCTCCTTGTAGCCCCCTTGGGTGGGCATTAAACTGTTCTGAATCTGTTTTCTAAATTATGTATTCCAGAATGTCTCTTACTTGCTGTCCCATATGTTTGTTCTCTATATTCACCTTCCTAAATGAGCATCTGTTCTTACAATTTCCATCACCATCTATTGGTATTCAGCTACTATTACTATATCAAGTCTCTATGCTGCTTCTCCCTTAGAGACAGGCCATACCAACAACATTATTACATAAAAATCAACAAGACAACTTGTCATCAGTCTTAATTCCCAGATCTTTCTGCACTGAGCTTTTCAGGACCTATATGCAGATCTTCACATGTGCAGGACTGCGCAGATTTTCTTTTCACAAATCCTCACTGGTGATTTTTTTGGTCATTTCTCATTCCTTTGATGTACAAGGCTCTTTTCACTTTTATCCCCATTGCTAGAGCCCTTTGTAAACTACAGAGCCTCAGATCTTGACTATCACAAATATCAATCTTTTAAATATGTCTTGTTCTTTATATCAGAAATCAACTTCCCAACACACTGATATGTTCTCTCCAGAAAACTTCAGCTTATCCTATTGTTTCTCATTCATTCATTTTCACAGAAAATATTTGCATCCACTGTGGTATCAGGCACATTGATTTGTGTTGGGTGTACAACATGGAACAGTAATGACATTTGTGGAGCTTACAATCTGCCTGCTTTATTTAACCTGAAGCTTCAAGGACATAGTGCCACTGAATTTACTAGCACTTACTTTCATCCCTATACCCACAGGCTCCACTTGAATTGGCTAAACATATAATAACCCACCATCATCCCACCCTTCTCAATGACTTCAGATCCTTTATTCTAGCTGTGTCCATTTTGCTGTCTGTTGCCAATCACACATCAGTCCTTCCTAGTCCCTAACTTAACTCATGAAGAGTTGTCATTGTTGTGTATGTGATTTGTTTGTTATAAGTGGAAGATTTAAGGTTTGGGAATAAAAGTGTAAACAAGAGAAACACACACTCTAGCAGATTCATAGCATTTATTTGATTTTATAAGCCCCCAAAGAAAACATAAGTCACTGATTTATTTTTAATTGCTAAGTGTCACTACAGTAGGCAGCATATCAATCAACAACTCTTTGTCTGGTCGCTTAGGTTCACAAACTTTGGGGCTTTTTCCAGTAAAATGGTGACATCACACCATTGGGACTCCTCAAAAAAATTAAAAATAGACCTATCATACTACCCTGCAACTCCACTTCCAGGATTTTATCTGAAGAAAATAAAAACTCTCACTCCATCTTGAATGGCTGAAACTCCCTTCAAGCCCACATTATCTTGTTCCTCTGCTGAGGGCACGGAGCACCATGTCCCATGCTCTCTCAGCATTCTGCAGAACTCTTTCCATGAGATAGCCTCTTGCAGCCTCTACAGCCCATTCAGGACTCCAGCAACCCTGGTATCTTCTGTT